TTATCCTTATTTTGGAGTCATTCTGGAGTCATGTGGCCTCTAAACCTCATAAATAATTAAATAGTGACCAAGAATTTTAGAAATTATAAAATATAACCAAGAATTGCAAAAGGAACCATTTTTTTTAACTTTTTGCTTACAGTCCTTGTGTTTAAAAAAAAAGCCTAACAAAGGAGGTAGAAAAAGGATATCATAACTGTAATGCCCCTTTTTTCACAGTACTTTGCCAATAAGAAAGATCCTCATATTTTTTTGCTTTGCAGGCAGAAGTGTTAGATTAGCAAAATTAGCCTTCAGCAGTAGCAGTAGAAGAGACAGAATGGCTGTCATACAGAAGAGAAGATACATGTAGAGGACTACATGTGTACATTAATACAAATGGGAGTAAAAGTGCCTGTCCTCCTCCTATTTTCATCTTTGTTTCCCTGCTGTGAAAGGGAGGCTATATCTCTTTTCCTTCAACAATTTGCCAGTGGAGGAAAGGATATAAATTCTCTCTTCCTTAGATTCAATTTTTACAAGAGAAATAGGAGAAGTATCCCTACAGGCAAAGTGGCAAATATAAGAGTTTGCCTACACACCAACTACCTGAAAGACAAAAAATCAAGTTGTGTTATCTACTGCTTATTTATATTATCAAAATTCAACCAGTCCCACATTTTTACATTACCTACTAGAACAGCTTCTCACACACTTAGGCCCCTGTATAATCCTTTGCTCTCCTAATAGTATTCAACTCTTTTGATCCCCAAGACTTATATGGAATTCATCAGTCTTTTTTCAACAGTTGGGGGCATTTTAGGCTGGTTATTTCCCCTCCATCACCATCACTTACACATTAGAATATTGGTGAAAACTATGTAACATCATGACAGCTAATTCAAACACCAGGAAAACTTTTCAGGCAACTACTGCATTTTATAAATGTATTGATAAATACTTTACAAATTCTTGAATGCTACAAGTAAAGCCATCAGAAAAGAACTCCAATCCAGAAAAATAGGATAAACAGTAAAGCTTGGAAAGTAACCGTTTATCTTTCCTCTTAAGAGGAAATTATTAAAAATATGTTTCTATAATTTTTTTCTATATGCATACCCTCTTTTACACTTGTTCATTTTCCTCCTCTCTATTCAGCTTGTTTTCAGAGGAACTCTGAAAATGAAATACCTTGTATAGGCAACATATTGTAGAATTTATTCCTAACAGTTCCTATGAATCTGCCTCCATCTTTCTTAAGAACCTCATATTTAACTACGTAGGCTTGATTATTATTTGATACTCTGCACAAGTTTTTTGATACATCAATCCTTAACATTTTCTTACTGAAATACTCCATGAGTATAAGCAGGCACACTGGGGATTTTTAGAATTTATTTACTCTAGAAGCATCATTTGCTTTTCTACATAAAGTATTTTTTGTTCAGATCAAATCCAGTTGATCCATTGTTATGTAAACTGACATATTTTCAAAAAAAAATTTAAAGAGTACTTTTCAAATCAATAAAAACAGTAAATTAAAATAAAATCAGCCATACGGTCCCTCTAATTACGTTTATACATGCCAAACTAAGTGGACTAGATAGAATACTTAGAACAAACTCCATAAAATAATACCTCAGACTATTATAAGTAACTGATATTTACTGCTGCCAAATTAAAAGACTTGTACATCCTTGTCGGTTGGGTGTGGGCAACAGCATGCTGGTTTGCAACCTGGTTTCTAGATTAGAGATCTTAGCTTGCATAGGAAAACATAAGCATGCTTGAGATAGATTAAGGCAGCGGTCCCCAACCTTTTTGGCACCAGGGACCAGTTTCGTGGAAGACAATTTTTCCATGGACTGGGGGGAGGGGATGGTTTCGGGATGATTCAAGTGCATTACATGATAGGGTTTTGATATGAGTCTGCAAGCAATTGATTTATTATGGTCTCTGTGTAGTC